ACATGTGGATATAAATATGAGAACAATAGGCACTGTGGACTACTAGAGGGTGGAAGGTGGTGGTGGGTTGAAAAACTACCTATGTAGTACTATGCTTATTACCAAAGTGATGGGGATCAATACTCCAAACCTGAGTATTGTGTAATATTCCCATGTAACAATTCTGCACATGTACCCCTCCACACCTATATCTGAAAGAAAAGTTGAAATAAAAAATGAAAATAAACACTTAATTTAAACTGCATTCTAGACAAAATGAACCTAATAGACATTTATAGTACATGTCACCCAACAGCTAGAGAATACACATTCTTCACCATAGCACATGGAAGATTCTCAAGGATAGACCATATGTTAGGCAACAAAACCACTTTTAAAAATGTTTTAATTGAAATCAAATGAAGTATCTTTTATGATTACAATGGAATAAAACTATGAATCAATAACAGAAGGAACTTTGGAAACTGTTCAAATACATGAAAACTAAACAATATGTTCATGAAAAAAAAAACAACGCATCAAAGGAAAGAAAGTTTTTAATTTAAAAATTCCTTGAGACAAATGAAAAATGAAAATACAACATACCAAAACCTATGTAATATAGGAAAAAAAGTCCTAAAATAAAGTTAATAGCAATAAACACCTACATGAAAAACAGTAGAAAGAACTCAAATAAACAACCTAAAATTACTCCTCAAAGAACCAAAATAAAGAACAACCCCAAAATAAGTAGAAGGAACAAACTAATAAAATCAGAGCAGAAATAAACAAAAAAGAGATTTAAAAAATATAAAAGATGAACAAAACAAAGAGCTGTACTTTGAAAAGATAAACAAAGTTGACAAACTTTTAGATTAAAAATAAAAGTGAGGAAATTCAAATAACTAAAACAAAAGAAGAAAAGGGTAACATTATAGCTGATGTCACAGAAATACAAAGGATCATAAGAAGCTACTACAAACAACTATATGCCAGCAAATTGGAAAACCTAGAGGAAATGGATAAATTCTTGGACACACGCAAGTTACCAAGATTGAATCGTGAAGAAATAGAAAATCTCAACACACCAATAATGAGAAACAAAATCAAAGGCAATAATTAAAAGCTTTCCATCAAAGAAAAGTCCAGGAACCCTGATGGGTTCACTGCTGACTGCTACCAAAATGTAAAGAACTAATGCCAGTTCTATTGAAACTATCCCAAAAACTTGAAGAGGAACGAATACTTTCAAGCACATTCTACAAGGCCAGCATTACTCTGATTAAAAAAAAAAAAGACATGGACTCAACAGAAAATAAAACTACAGGTCAGTATCACTGATGAAAATTTATGCAGAATTTTTCAACAAAAGACTAACACACCAAATTTAGCAACACATTAAAAAGATCATTTACCATGATCGAGTGGGATTTATATCAGGGAATTAAAGATGGTTCAACATCCACAAACAAATAAATGTGACACATCACATCAACAGAACAAAGGACAAAAAACATACTGATTTCCATAGTGTTTACACTAATTTATATACACACAAACAGTGTATGAGTTCCCTTTTCTCCATATCCTTGAAAGATTTTGTTATTTTTGTCATTTTTATAATAGCCATTCTGACATGGATTAAGTGATATCTCATTGTGGTTTTGATTTGAATTTCTCTGATGATTAGTGACATTGAACATTTTTTCATATATTTGTTGGCCATTTGTATGTCTTCTTTTGAGAAATATCTATTCACATCTTTAGCCCATTTTAAAAATCAGATTTGTATTAGTCTGCTTCCACATTGTTAATTTAAAAAATACCTGAAACTGGGTAATTTGCAAAGAAAACAGGTTCAATTGGTTCATGTTTCTGCAATGAATACTATCCAGCTGTATTAGTACATTTTCATGCTGCTGATAAAGACAGATCTGTAACCGGGCAATTTACAAAAGAAAGAGGTTTAATGGACTTACAGTTCCACGTGAGCGGGGAGGCCTTACAATCATGTTGGAAGGTGAAAGGCACGTCTCACATGGTGGCAGCCAAGAGAAGAGAATGAGGAAGAAGTGAAAGCAGAAACCCCTTATAAAACCATCAGATCTCAAGAGACTTATTAACTAGCAGCAGTATGGGGGAAATCGCACTCTTGATTCATTATCTCCCACCGGGTCCCTCCCACAACATGTGGAAATTATAGGAGTACAATTCAGGAAGAGATTTGGGTGGGGACATAGCCAAACCATATCACCAGCCATAAAACAGAAATAGTGTCCTGTCATTTGCAACAGCATGGATGAACCTAGAGGACATTATGTTAAGTAAAACAAGCCAGGCAAGAAAGACAAACTCCGTAAGATCTCACTTGTATGTGGAATCTTAAAAAGTTGATTTTATAGAAATAGAGAGTAGAATAGTGCTTATCAGAGGCTGTGGAGGGGTTGGGGGAGGAGGCAATGCAAGTGGCTTGTTAATGGGTACACAGTTACAGTCAGACATGAAGAATAAGTTTTAGTGTTCTGCTACATAGTAGGGTACTATAGCAAATAACATTATAGTGTATAATTCAAGATAGCTAGACAAGAAGATTTTGAATGTTATTACCATAAAAATGATCAATTCTTCTAGCGATATATATGGTAATTTCCCTGATTCAGTCATTATACTATGTATACACGGACTAAAACACCATATTGTACCCCATGAATATGTATAATTATTATGTCAATTATAAATTAAAATCTTAAATAAAAAGGAAGAGAGGCTTAGGCTATAATAAAAAGTGACAATGCTTTATTGTGAAGCCTCTGAATTGTTAAAAATATACCAGAAATCAAAGTTTCCATTCATTTTTATAAAAATTTAAGCAAATGACCACAATTATCAATTTATCAATTAAATGATAAAAAAGACCAATTAATTTTCAAAATAAACTACGAAGTTACATGTAAAAATCATGAAAGTGTTTTTACTGCAAGGATGTGGAAACACTCTATTACTTCATATACTATATACACTTAAAAAGTTGAAAGTCAATTTTATTTTTCTAAGAGTATTAACCTTTTTTAAAAAGTTTAAACATTTTAAAACAGATAAAATTGATTTAAAAATCAGAATGAATAAAAAAAGATTCCAACATAAAGAAATAAATTAAAGAGAAGTAAACATGGATTGGGTAGAAAAAACAAAAAGCAGCTCAAAATATTTAAATCCAAATATGTCAATAATTATAATAATTTCACATTAAAACATTCAAACATATTCTAGGAATACAAAAAGACATTCACACTGGATTTGTAAAAAAACAAACAAACAAACAAAAAAAAAACTAAGCGATTTATAAGCCACATCAGTAAATTATAAAAATCCAGAAAGATAGAAAACAAGTAGATGAAAAGAGATACACCATGCATACACTAACAAAAATCACCATAGTATGTCAATGTCAGACACAATAGAATTTAAGGCAAATGACCTTACCAGAGATTCAGATGGTTCCTTTCATAAAATGAAAAAGTTGAGTTTGCCAGAAATACAGAATTTTCATACACATGCACCAATAACATAAGCAGCATTTAAAAAGAAGACAAAACTACAAGAAGAAATAGATAAATCCAAAATAATAGGAGGAGAATTCAACATGCCTCTCTTAGTAAATGTCAGAACAAACAAAAAATTTAAGGAAATCAAGAAATAAATACTACTTTAAATGGCACAATTTAATGAATGTTTGTACAGTCCTAACATGATACACATCCATAAACCAAATTCTGCTTAATTTATTCAAAATTAACTTTAATTAAAAATTACTTAATAATATTCATCATTATATTTACTGCTGAGTATTTTTCTTCTAACAACTCTAAGTGTCAGGCAAAATATTTTCATCTAATTCTTCACCCATACTCTAGGATACAATAAGAAAATCTTTTTAAGAACTAAATGAAAACCAGATCTGTGGTGTAAGTACTAGACTTGCAATAAATGCTAATGACTCAATAATACTGTCTCACTTCACATGATATAAGCACATCAGACTTTGTGGTAATAAATTATTAATAGATACCATCCAGTTGAAGTATAAGCTTTATGCTACTTTTTAGATACATACACAGAGGTATCTTTAGAATAAAGTTTAAAATATTTGGTATCATTTGTCCAAGGAAAAAGTATGTAATGATATTAAGTAATAGAGCATAAAGGAGACTAAAATAAACTTATCAGGCAGATAAAATAGGAAGGCCAGAGAAAATGGTATACTTAAACATAGAAATATCAATAATAAGACTAAATGTGTTTTATGAGAGCTAATTAAAAGACAAAAAATATTAGACTGAATTTGAAAAATATACAACTATAAGCTTCATACAAGAGATACAGAAAAAAACCACACACACACACACACAAAAAAAAAACAGGAATGTTAAGTTACCAGGATGAAAAATAAAATGTATCATGCAAACACCAATCAGAAGAAAGTTGGTAGATTTACATTAATAGCAGATGTGATAGTTTTTTTGTTTGTTTGTTTGTTTTGGGTTTTGTTTTGTTTTTGTGGCGATGAGGGTCTCACTCCATTGCCCAGTCAAGTCTTGAATTCCTGGCTTCAAGAGATTCGCCCACCTTTACCTTCCAAAGTGCTGGGATTACAGGGAGACATGATAGTTTTTAAGGCAAACAAACAAAAGCTATAAAAATGATAAAGCAGGTCCCTTCATTAGGACAAAAGTTTATTTCTTCCAGCAAGATTGTTAATTTTAAATTTATATGCACATTAATAATAAAATGTCATAAGATATAAAGTAAAATCTGACATTATTATAAAAAGGAACAAGGAAATTCACAATCATAGTGGAAAAATTGACACATCTAATTCAGTCATTGTACAGACCAGTATAGATCTAGAAGTATATACAAAATAATTACAAAAAAAAGTTGTAGATATATTCATGAAGCATAAAAAGAGCTGTTGAATATAATTGAAAATAATTTTATAGTATTTTAAACTTACTACTTACAATGAAAACTCTCATTTCCAGTAGTTTCAAGATTTTTAGTTTCAGATTGACTTCTTGAGACTAAAACCACGTCCTCAGGCGATTGTGGGGTTGTAAGACTCGCTAAATAGAAAAACAGATCTACGATAAAACTTCGGTATACGTCAAGTAATCAGCAATACTTCCTCTTATTTGTGTAAAATTAATGGAATAGGACTAGGAAGTTATAGCAGTGAGCTATTCGTTAAAACAGACCCTGGATCTGAAGCAGAAAATTCTCATGTGTAGGCAATCTTCTTACATAGTAGTCACTGACTATGCAAATACCAACCAAAAGGTATCAAAGCTTTCACTTTAGTTCTCTAGTTATTTTGCAGTATTCACATTTAGGTAAAAGTATAAAATTTCTACAAATTATATGTTCAAATATTCATGACCCAAAGAAAAAAGACCTTCTGATGAGTTAACTTAAAATAGTGTAAAGGGCCAGGAGCAGTGGCTCACGCCTGTAATCCCAGCACTTTTGGAGGCCAAGGCATGTGGATCATGAGGTCAGGAGTTTGAGACCAGCCTGACCAACATGGTGAAACCCAGTCTCTACTAAAAATACAAAAATTAGCCAGTGTGATGGTGTGCACCTGTAATCCCAGCTATTCAGGAGGCTGTGGCAGAAGAATCGCTTGACCCTGGGAGGTGGAGGTTGCTGTCAGCCAAGATCACGCCACAATCTCCAGCCTGGGTGACAGGGCGAGACTCCATCTCAAAAAATAAAAATAAAATAAAATAGTGTAAAGATATCTATAATTATTATACTTACCCTTGCGTCTTTCCATACTAAACGTTCTTTGTTTCATTTGTTCTACTTGGACTTTTGTTACTGAATCTTTATTTTCAACCATAAGATTTTCATCCGGAACTTCACTGTAAGCTACATAAAAAGATTCATTTAGTCTACCAAATAGAGAAAGAGATCTATTGTGAAATCTCCAAATTTCACATTTTAAACAGGTACACAGCAGCATTTTCTCTCATTCTCATAAAGTGATGAGTAAATTACCACTGAGATAGATCTCACATGAAAATTGTGAGAAGTTTTAATAGGTGTATGTTGCTGTTTCATTATTTCCAGGCATAATGTTAAGTAGGCAGAAGGCAAATAAATGAAAATAGAAAAAATGCATATCTAGAATGCTACCTTTTAGATAAGAATGAAGGAGAGATGAAGAAAAATATTGAAATAGACAGAAAATTGCCTTCATGAAATGTAATACAAGAAAAACAAACCGGAAAACAACATACATGGTTACCTTTACTGGAGAAATACAAAGGGAAGAGATACAGGAGGAATGAAACTATTCTAAGTATACCTTTTGCATATTTTTCACTTTGGGAAGTAAGTTAATGCATAATTCCTATATATGTATGTGTATATATATACACACACACAAAGCTAAATCAATAGAATTAGAAAGAAAACTATAACTCAAAGAAATAAATGAACCTACTGAGGAAAAAAGCAAAGCATTAATTCAAGTAACCTGTGAATAAAAATTTGACAAATATTAGTCTTGGTCAAGAGAGTGGGGTGCAAATAAAATCAAAAAATATTTTAGTAAATTTGTTTTTCTAGTGCTATGAGCTAAGCAATTCTAAAACAAATTGAGGAGCATTAGAGGATAAAGCAAATGAGTACGTGTGTCATTAATGTTCAGTCAGGTTTACACTGTGGAAAAGAAAACAAATACTTACAAAATGAAGGAAGGTAAGAATAAGACCTGAGAGGATAAACTGGAATTGAAGATGTCCATGAGAACTCCTGATTTCTAAATATGTTTATTTGTATGTATATGCATGTTTGTGTACATAAGAATATGTGTGTATGAATATGAGTGTGTGTGTGTGCACGCGTGCGTGCATGCAAACTGAGGAGCCCAGTGTGTCTGTGCAAATTGAGGAGCCCAGCTCCAGGTTAAAATCCTATATGTGATCTTTCATGCTCAATCCTTAGCAATTACAGATAGATACTACAACAATCATAGGTGGAGACTTCAATATCCCATTTTAAATAACAGATTGAACAACTAAGCATTAGATCAAGAAAAAAATGGAATTGAAGAATACAATACACTAAGTAGAGCTCATTGGAAGTCTATAGATACCCATAGAAGACTCCACCCAACAGACAAATGCATGTTGCTCTAAAATATACTTGGAAATCTCTAAGATATGCAATATGTTAGGCCACAACTCAAGCCTTGATAAATTTAATAGTATTAAACTCATACAAAAGGTGTTCTTCAATCTATATGAACTAACATTAGAAGTCAGTAACAGGTGAAGATTTGAGGAATTCACAAATAAGTGGAATTTAAACAACACACTCCTAAATGACCAATGGGTCAAGGAAAAAATCATAAGGGAGACTAGAAAATAGGTCGAGATGAAGAAAAACAAAAACACATCACATGAAAACTTATGGGATGCAGCTAAAGTGATGCTTAGAGGAATTTTACAACTGCAAACTTACACTGAAAAAGAAAAGAGACCACAGTCAACAAAACTTCTATCTTATAAGTTAGAAAAAGAAGAGGACATTAAATTAAAGTAAGCAGAAAGAATATATATATATTTATTTATATAAATAAAAGAAAGAATAAGAAAACAAGAGCAAAAATTAACAATCCCATGCTGGCTTGGTTTAATAACTGAAAACCAATTGATATACTAAATGATATTTAAAAATGATTCCCTTTATAATCATCTCAATAGTCTGAAAAAAAGCAAAGTCCAAATCCTTTCTTTAGAAAAACACTCAACAAACTGAAAATGAAAGGGAATTTCATAGCTGGCATCAAACTTAATGGTTAATGCTTTCCCACTAAAGTCAAAAACAAGATAAGGATGTCTCATCACTTCTGTTTAACACTACAATGGAGTTTCTAGCCAAAGAAACAAGACACCCCCTCCCAGAAAAAAGAAAAGAAATAAAATGTATCTGGATTGAAAAGGAAGAAGTAAACCTCTCAACTTACAAATGTTTTATAAAGAAATTTAAGAAACACCTATACACACACAAACACATCCTAAAGAGGAAATAATAAACCTATTAGAAGAAATCAATTTAGCGAAGATTTCAAATTATAAGATCAATATACAAAACTCACTTGTATTTCTATATACTAGCAATTAACAGTTTGAAAACTAACAATAGTATCAAAATAAAACAGTTAAAGAATGACTTTTAAAAAATTAAGTATAAAGGCCTGTATACTAAAAATACAAAGAATCATTGAAAGTAATTGATGAATATATGATAAATGAGAAGACATCCTATGGTTATGTATTGTTAGACAATATTGTTAAAAGGATAATACATTCCAACTGATTTACAGATTGACTTAATCCCTATTAAAAAACCAATTAGTGCTTTTTTTTGGAGAAATTGAAAAGGCAACACTAAAGCTTATATGTAAATTTAAGGCATCCAGAACAACCAAAACAATCTTAAATGAGAAAAAACTATATGGAAGCCTTTCACTCCCAATGTAAAAACTTCGTACAAAATTTAAATAATAAGAGTGTGGCACTGGCATAAGCAAAGGATATACATAAATGGAATAGAATTGAGAATTCAGAAATAAACCCTTACATTTATGGCCAAGCAATTTTTTCTACAAGAGCACTAAGAAAATTCAGTGGGGAGAAAATAGTATTTTCAACAACTAGTGCTGGGAACTGAATATCTAGAGGTAAAAGGATAAATATGAACCCTCATCTCACACTCTAGGCAACTCAAAGGGGACTGCAGACATAAATATTAAGAGTTAAAACTATAAAATCCTTAATAAAAAATAGAGAAGTAAATTTTCGTGATTTTGCTTTAGGCAATGGTTTCTTGGATATGACACCAAAAGCACAAGTTAACAAAAGAAAATATAGATAAATTGAACTTCAAAATTAAATTTTTTTTGCTTCAAATGACACCATTATCTAGAGGTTTAATCACTCACTCACATGTCTGCCTCAGCTAAAGCTGTTAACCAGAGAACCTACATGGGGCCTTCCTTTGCCTTGAGCTTCTCATAGAATGGCAGCTGAGAGATTCTGAGAGAAAATATCTTAAGATAAATCTTTCAGAGACTGTGTGCCAAGAGCCAGGCAGACACCGCATGGCATCACTTCTATCTATTCTATTAATGAAAATGAATATAAGCCAGCTAAACTCACAGAAGTTTGGGTAGACCCCATTTCCTAACTGAAAGAAGCCTCAGAGAATTTGGAGCTATATTTTCTAACTGACACAGCATATAAATTATAAAAATTGATCTTAACTTACAATTATTTTGGATCAACCCAGTAATGAATATTATATAGATCAGAATGATCCATGTGCTGAGAAATATGTATATTCTGCAACAAGTAAATAAAATAGTCTTTAAATATCTACTAACCCAATCTATAGTGCAGATTAAGTTCGAAGTTCCTTTGCTGATTTTTTGTCTGGGAGATCTGTTCAATGTTATAAGCGGAGTGCTGAAATCTAGCTATTATTGTATTGGGGTCTATCTCTCTCTTTAGCTCTAACATTTGCTTTATCTATCTAACAAAAATAAGCAATGAGAAAAGGACTCCTTGCACTAACCCCACTCCCTGTACTAACCCCACTTTGAGAACAGCACCTTATAATAAGGAAGGAAGCCCCTACTACAAGCTTCTTCCCAAGAAGCAAGGGGCTTGTTTCATATATATATAGTACCCATATATATATTTCATACATATATATAGTACCCATATATATATTTCATACACATATATATGGTACCCATATATATATTTCATACACATATATATGGTACCCATATATATATTTCATATACATATATATGGCACCCATATATATATTTCATATATATAGTACCCACATATATTGCATATATATGGAAATATATCTATATATATATATTTGATATAAATATATACATAAAAAAGGAAAAAGTGCCTACTCCCTGCACCTGCTTCTCTGGCTTGCTTCAAAGACAACTCCAGACCAAAAGTCTCCCCAACTGCTAGGAGGGTGTGAGACTTCTGCTTGCTTGAACAAAATAGTGAGCACCCCCGCACATTCTTCCCTGGCTTCCTCCAGCAATAAATCCAGATCTGAGGACTCTCTCTCTCGTAGTTTATACATACATCAAGGACCCCGACTTTTGTAGCCTTCACCCAAGAAACTGACTATCAAATCACCTACCTGTGGGAGCTGACAGAGCTCTGAACTCCTGAGTCTCCTAGACCACAAGAACAAAAAAGTGACTTTTAAACTTGCCAATATTCAGTAGTTATCTCCCCAGGAAACCAAAAGAGAGCAGAGGTCACTATATTTATATCAAAAACATAAACTTCCAGTCAAAAACTGTAAAAAGGGACAAAGAAGCATACTATATAATGATAAAGGGGTCAATTCATCAAAAGAATGTAACACTTGTAAATACATACATGCTGCAAATACTGGAGAACCTAAAAACATAAAGCAAATATTAAATGTCTGAAGGGAAAAACAACTGTAATACAATAATAGCAGAGAACTTTAATATTCCACTTTCAACAATGGACAGATAACACAGATGGAACATTAATAAGGAAACATTGGACTTAAACTATACGTTAGATCAAGTGAACCTAGTAGATATATACAGAATATTCCATTCAACAGCACTAGAATGCAACATTCTTCTCAAGCACATGCAGCCATTCTCTGGAAAAGATCACACATAAGGCACAAAAATCCTTTGCAAATTTAAGAAGATTGAAATCATATCAAATATCTTTTCTCACCACAATGATATGAAACTACAAAATCAATAGCAGAATAAATTTTAGAAAATTCACAAATACATGGAAATGAAATATGGTCCTGGAAACCAATGTGTT